CATAATTATTATATTATATATATATTAAATTATAAGAAAATTTCTTAAGTCACTTTCTAGCTGACTAATATTTAATATAATATTAATATTTTGATTGTTTTGACTATTGATTAGCAGCCAAAATTTTTAAATATAGTAATTAAATTATTATATTTAGAAATTTTAATTATTAATTAATAACCAAAATAACCAAAACGTCAACTTTAATTTAATGAATACATGTTATCATCGTTAGTTATTTATCTTATTTTTTCCACCTGATTTGAAACATGTATTGAGCACATAAAAAAATATAGTAAAAGTGAAATTTAAGTAAAACAGTGACACTATAAAGGAATATAACTATAGAAAGATTTTTTATGTAAATGATTATAAACAAATATGACTATAGAGAAATTTAACTATATATATTATGAAAATTTATAATTGACTAAAATATATTTATCAAAATAAATAAATAAATAAGTAAAAAAGTATAAAAATATAAAAATAAATAAATAAATAAATAAATAAATAAATAAATAAATAAAAAAATAAAATAAATTAATAATATAAAAAATAAAATATATAAAAATAAAAGTAATACAAAATAAAAAATTAGATAAATATAATAAATAATAATATATAGGATAATTAAAAAAATATTCTAAATTTTTATATAATTTTATAAATTATAAAATTAATGATTTTTATTGTAACAATATATATTATAATTAAACAATTTACTTATATAATTAATCATGATAAATCACATGATATAACAAAAAGATATTATAATAATAAAATTAATTTAAACTTGAGATCACAGAATAGAACAAGTCAAGATAAAAGTCATGTGATTTCAGTTTTTAAATCATGTACTGTAATTTAGTTATTTTATTTTTAATTATTAGTTTAGCAAATATTCAATACAGATAAATGTAAAAATTATTAAATTGTTCAATAAAATATAATATTATATCTAATAAGTCTGAATAAACTAAATATAATGCTAAAAATATATAACAATTATATTATTAATTATTACTCATTTTGCAATTGTTATTATTTATTGATTTGTTTATAAAATTCATTTTATTATGAAGACAAAAACCAAAATAATACAAATAATAAATAATAATCTCCGCCATCATCAAAAATTCTATTAGTTCGTAGGGATAGGAGGGAAAAAGAGTTTTTTTGGGTTTATCATGCATAATATTTCAAAGATGTTTTCTTTTTGGCCATAACTTCTTGAATTCCTAAAAAAAAAAAACAAAAATGCAAATAAAAGTTTAGATTAAGTACAGTATATTTTGGAATGATTGACTACTCACCATCCATAAAATCTTCGTGACTCAATTCAGTAGCCTGACGTCTTAAAGCAAGCATACCCGCTTCCACACACACAGCCTTACACTGCGCACCATTGAATTCATCGCAACAACGCGCCAATTCTTCATAGTTAACATTTGAACTTACTGTCATTTTACGAGAATGAATCTGAAGAATACGCGCGCGTGCTTCTTCATTTGGAAGTGGAAATTCTATTTTTCTGTCAAGACGTCCAGACCGCAGAAGCGCTGGATCTAATATATCAATACGATTTGTAGCCGCTATAACCTACATGAAATATTAACCTGTCAGCCAATTTATACCGAGATAAAGTCTTGCAAGAGTAAAAAAAAAAAACAAACCTTAATTCGCTCATCGCTGCTGAAACCATCAAGTTGATTAAGCAATTCTAACATGGTTCGTTGAACTTCACGATCACCACTTTTTTCACTATCGAAACGTTTAGTTCCTATTGCGTCCAATTCATCAATAAAGATGATAGCAGGCGCTTTTTCTTTGGCTAAATTGAAAGCATCGCGTACAAGTTTTGCACCATCACCAATAAACATCTAATAATGGTGGAGAAACGATGAAATCTTTTTTACGATACCAAAATCAATAAGGAGCTTTGCAAAAAAAATTATGAATACCTGAACAAGCTGAGGTCCTGCCAATTTTAGATACGTCGATTGAGTCTGCGCGGCACAAGCCCTTGCCAATAAAGTCTTTCCTGTTCCTGGAGGTCCATACATCAAAACCCCTAAACAAAAGAACTGCGTTAGTTGAATTGATCAATATTTTTTAAAAGTGTATATTGAAAAATTGATTAGGCAAAAAAATTTTCGGATACCTTTTGGCGGTTTTATACCCAAATTTTTAAATCTTTCAGCATGAGTCATTGGAATTACGATAGCTTCAACTAGTTCTTCAATTTGTTTATCAAGCCCACCAATATCATTATAATCTTCCGTTGGTTTTTCATCGACTTCCATAGCCTTAACACGCGAATCGTATCTATTTAAATAAAAAAAACTCATTTTTATTTTATCCCAAAAAGATATTCCAAAAATATTTTATAGTAGGAAAACTTACTCGGCCGGTAATGTGTCTAGTACAAGATAACTATCTTTATTAACACCAATCAAGTCACTAGGTTTTAAAGTGCCTGGATCAACAAGACCAATGAGTGGAAGAAATATGGTCTGTATAGCGAAAAAATAAAATTGAGCCAATGCGTCTAAATAAGTTTATAAATTAGCAATATACAATATTACAATATACCTGCCGCGTGGACGTCTTGATCACAGCGCATTTACCCTTTCGATGTGCATCCAAATCAATATTTGCACCATCTTCTTCGGGTTCATCATTAGGATCCATATCCAGTAGCTTTGGTGCGAGATAATCAAATACGCGTCAATTACCATAACACGAGAAACTAAAATTAAATAATGGATTTGATCGGTTTAAACTAACCTCGACTACATTTCCAACAAGATATGGTAATTGCTTGTTGACCTTTATCTTTTCTTTATTATCTTTTATTTTCTCTTTCATTGAGGTTTGTTCGAGCGTTAGACGCATGTGCTCGGATTTCATGACCTGTTATCAAGCAAAAAAGTTCAATAGGCAAATAATTCAAAATCAAATAACTTTCTGGAAGGTGCTCGATCGATCAACATCGTAACACTCTATAGTATGGCAAAAAAGGAACCTTTATTTCATTTTCCAACAGCCGTGTGCGATTATTTATGTCTTCCGTGCTAGCACGCAAAATTTCTTGTGGTAGCTCTTCTTCTTTTTCCTCTAGGGGTTTTTCTTCTTGAATTGTAGCCATGATTGCAAAGTGTAAAAAAAATAGTGGTTTTTTTTATTTCCGCATTACGCAAGCGCGTATTAGATCTTCGAACGACAACATACGTCACATCAATCGGTGTAACCAACTTTTGGTATCATTTTCCAACTTTGACTTCGCTCCTGTTTGATTTCCACTGGTATATGCCAACCAGAAAATACGAGTAAAAAACCTCTCGTAGGAACAGTAACCATATGACGATATTGATAAGGACGCTGAAGGGTTGTATCGTTTTTGTTTGTTTCAAATTTGTATCATCAATTCCAACCCTCATGAGCAACATAAATAGTTTGCAATCGGATGGTGAATACGAGTGTTTGATTGCTCGGTGTATATTTTGCTGTTGAGATCGCTCGAGTAGAAAGTTGGAATTGATCCTTTTTTTAATGATGAAATTTCCACACACAGAGGATTTATTTATTTAACCTGAGATTTCAAAGTGATGTAAAGATAGAACGGAAATCTGATGAAAATATATATATCTTTTGTTAATTTTGTTTACATTGTTTATTTCTTGGAATTTATTAATTTTTTTTTATATATTAGACATAAAGACGAAGATGAAATAATCTTCGTGCATCAAATCATGAATATCCTTGAGGTAAAGTAGTCTGACGAAAAATTTCACTACCTATTTATTTATTCATCATATCTTTACTAAAGTATTATTGAAAGAATAGAACTAAAGAATAGAACCAAAATATCAATGTTGTTGACAGGGTAGAACTAAAGAAAAGAATCAAAATATCAATGTTATTGATAGAGTAGAGGAAAATGAATTTGTATATCATTATCTCTCAAGTTTCTCTATCACTTTATTGAATATTGCAATGCGTCCAATTGTTTTCTAATGTTTTTACTAAAAATAAAGAATTTCATGTAAATATATGCAAATCAATTGAAAGAATCAATTAAATGAAACAAAAAAAAAATACATATTCTTGGCCAAAGCATAAACATTTGAAAATTCCTTATCAAATGTTTCACACATATTAATTAATGCACAAGTCTTATTTGAAGTTTCCTCAATAGCTGCACAATAGTTTGTAACTGTCTGATCGTATACATCAAAAGATTCTCGAGTTATAGTTGAAGCCTTGTTGTAAAATCCAAATATTAATAAAACATAAAATAAAAGACAAGTAACTAATTCATCAATCACCTCGAACATTTTCGTTTTCAATTTTTTCAACATACAATCTAAATCTTTGGTTATCGCATTTGCTTCTTGCTCTAATTGATTTATCATTTGAGGGTCGACGAATTTATCGGATGTCATATTAAGAGAAAATGCAGTATATGTAACGATCGACCAATTAACTGATCTTTTACTGAACATATTGTACATGTAGTACAAAAATAACGGCAGAACACATTATGACGTAAAGAAAACCACGTTTTTCCTTGTGTCAATAGTAATTGACATATCTAAAGCTACAGAATCACCATTTACTTTCTTGCGCATGAGCCAAATATACGCCTAAATTTCCAAATAAAGAAATCACGGAACCACCAAATAAAAAAAATGATGACTTTTGCAAATCAACTATCGCTATTAGTCGATATACAAATTTAGATATGAATGGATAAACGTGCAGAATTTTTATTGCGTGAAATGTTTCTATTTGGAATTCTGTGCATAACATCTATACTTTTATAATTCCAGGCAAAATTATACTTTAGTACAGCCTTCGGCCAATCAAATATTAGATTTCTGATGATGTAATAAACTTTGAAAATTCGGAATGAGATGTTACAAAAGATGTAAAACTGCAATTAGGCGAAGTACATACTGATCTTTTCTTTCTCGGTCGCACTAATTACTCAAAAATCCACATAAAAAATTTAAAAATTGCAAATTTTTGCATAAAAAATCACATCTAGATATTTAAATTTGATGCATTGAACAAAGAATGGGTAGACATTCCCTATGAAGATATTTGAAAGAATATTTCGTACTGTTCGGATTACGAAAAGCTTTCCGGCATGCCTTATCATAAATAACGATAAGGTCTATCAAAATCATAAAAATAGTTTCTGCTATACAACAAAAAACATTTACCTTTAAATAGCTTATCATTCAATATAATTTAGTTAGAACCATTTACACAATTACTTGCCATCATCATCTTTCGTAGATTGATCATCCACACGTCCAGAAAACCAAATACTGTGATTCATTTAATTGCATGAATGAAAAAGATATACAAATGATCATATGTACTTCGTGGCACGCGCATTGTTATTTATATACGGTACTGTATTAAGAAAGAAAAAGAGGTTCAACTTTATTTTAATGCAATCTTTGTACATACATATATATATATACACACACGGAAATAAGACTCCATCATTTATATCCTCTACTCAAAAACAATCTTATCATTGATTAGATTCCTTTTAGACTAGGTGGCGAGTGTTAAATGAAATTACCTATTTGGAAAGATGAAGGGCGTGGTGATATTTTAATTTCTGTGTGTTTTCATTAGTGTTTGTATTATGCTTGAATATTTATTGAACACGCGATAATAACAGTTTGTGTTGCAGCAGTTATTCATCTTCTGACGTGCAGCGGGTCATTTATTTATTTGTGTTATGACTGCACGTGCGTCGTTATTGTTGGCTAACGCTTGATTTGTTTGTTTGGTTCTTCCAAAAAGATTGGGTTTCTTTGTTTGTGCCTGTCACGAATTAAATTCGCGGATCAATCGGAGAATATTTTTGAATAGTTTATTTCTTTTTTCCTTTTTCTTCTCCTTCGACAATGGGGATCTACTTTTTATTTCCAAATAGGCAAAGATAACAGATTTACGTTAAAAAAACGTGTGTTTTTTAGTCGTGAATATAATAAATCCAATTAAACAAAGACTGAGCGGAATGGAACTTAATGGGTAAAAACCACGAACTATGTCTCATGATTTTTTATTTCTATTTAACGCACAAGTAAGGGACCAAGCACATAGTCGTACAACTAAATTAACATTTGATTATTTCTGGCTGTTCATGTCAATCCATCACTATTTGTAGACATAAAGACAAATGGACTTGGCCACTATCAAATAAATTATCTAAATTTGAATTTTTTTATTTAAGGAGGAAAGTTTAGTGGGTACACAAGCACAAAGATACATTTCGAAGGAGAATGAATTTGACTTTTTCTCCTTTATTTTTAACTAATTTCGGCTTAAAGTTTAAACCGATGCTATTTTTCGATACCATAATAAATAGAAATGACCGAAGCGAATTTCTTGACTGCGACGTTAGATCTACGCGAATATCTTACCTTTTAGAGCCAAAGATTTCGGCCATCGAATAAAACTTCTTTTCTTAAAATAACCGCACAATATAAGCGTGGAAAATCGGCCCGTAATTAACCGATCACAATTGATTTACTACACTGTGTGTCCGTCTTGCTGTGCATGAATGAATCGAAAGGAGCATAGCGGCGGCGCATATAATGCATAATATATTTAATTCGCCACCTACATATTTTCTATAAACATTAGAAGACGTGACATTGTTAAAAAGGTTTTTCCTTTGCCTGACAGGAGAAAATTATAAAGAAAGGTGTTAACGTTTTCTCTCGAAAATAGCATAGACACACACATAAAAATATATGTATTTATTTATTCTCATAGACAGCATCAATAATATAGATATAATAAATATATAATCATAATTACTATATTCCTTACTATCTAATTAGTAATCGTTCGAAATTACCGTCACCTGACCAACCAATATAATAAAAAAGCATAAATATATAACAACCCTTTGTTATTCTTTGTAATTCTTTTACAAAGCAGAAACATAACTTTATTAGTAATCTTCTGCCAAGTACAAAATATATCAACCACATCATGACCTCTCCAAGTCCACATCAGCAAGAGGATTTGAAAAGAAAATTTAATACGTTTGACGACGATGATTTTGGTCTCTCTAATAATAAACACTTTAAATTTATGCAAGACTGTGTTTATGAAGATGAAGACAGCGACTTTGATCACGATCCTCAAGACTTAGAAACCAAGGAAGCGCCTGACCTTACCATTGACAATTATAATTCTGGCCAACAAATACCGTTGAAACAACAGGAGCAGCAAGAAACCAGTGCTCCGCAGCAACAAGAGCAACCATCACAACCACAAGCACCTCAACGAAAAAAACCAGGTCGGAAACCAAATCCTGCCTCTCCTGCTCTTAGAAAAGCGCAAAATCGTGCTGCGCAACGGGCTTTTCGTGAAAGAAAAGAACGGCATTTACGCGAATTAGAGGATACAATCAAAACTCTTCGTCAAAACGAGTATGAGATTACTGTCAAACATCAAAAAGAATCTGATAATTATCGTGAAATGCTTGAAGCTCTGAAGAATGATAGTATCTATTGGAAAGAAGTCGCACAGGCATTCGAAACCGTGATAAATAATATGAACGTTGGTTCGGATATCACGTCCAAAATTAAAACTACATTGTTAGCAAATATGTCGACCATGATGTTGGCCCAAAATCAAAGCATTACCACTGGAATGTATAGTTTATTACCAGCACTGCAACAATCGTTATCATCAACATCCACAGTAACCAACGAAGATGCTCCACTATCATATAATCCATCGAGTCAACAACAAACGCAGCGACAATCACCGTCTCGTCGTCCACAAATGCAAAATGATGTGTTACAGGTTCTTCTCACCCTAACCCCTGAACAAAACGATTCTTGTGATGGTTCTGTTGCTTCGAAGAAGTTTCTTCCATCACCAACAAATAGCTCAACTGTTATGTCACCTCAGAGTACTCCAGTCACCCCATCAACTACTGTTGGATCGCCACCAACTAATTACGAAGATTTAGTCAATGAATTGGGCATGAATGAAGTTAAACCAGTGATAACTGATACACGTGATGGAGGTAGCAGTATTGATGCAACAAATATTGATCATCATCATCATCATCGTTATCATGGAACAAAACGATTGATTACAAATCAAAATGAGATCACTGATCATGATACTAGTAACACTTCTAATACAGGAAACACTGTCGCTGCATTTAATTCAACTTATCTGGAGAATCCGGCACTAATCGATTCCGATTTTAGTTTATTCTTGAATATTAACTCGTATCTAACAGATTATCAAATTCTTCAAGGACAACAACAATCTCTGATGCAAATACAGATGCAACAAAATGAACAAAAGTCAAATATTAACGCAATATCATTATTATCTGCCGAGGAGATGCAACAATTAAATGATTTGGCTAGATTAGTTCGTGCTCCTAATAATTTCTCAGATGTTAGTCCAAGATTGCACTTTCCGTTGTCACAAGAGCAATTATTCTATCTTCAACAATCACACGATCCCAGGATTGGTATGATACCATGCTTACATCTTAGGGCGCGGATGATTGAACATCGTGACAAATATGATTTGAAAAAATTATGCGATCTATTAATAAAGAAAGCAAAATGTCACGGAGACACAATGGATCCTGAGGCGTGGGAAATGCCCGAAGAATTCTTTGAAGAATATAGTTTCCTCTCATTCCATCACTGTCGAGTAAAGAGTGACTTTTATCGGCAAAATGCTGGAAAAGCTTCAAAGGGCGATCTGACAAATTATGTGAAAAAGGCCGGATTAAACCCGTACTTGGTATCTTGAATTATCTATATGATTACCTCGTCGTCTTTGGCTTATTTATTATGTTGAACTTTTCTCGCTCGTTTGTTGTTCTGTTTCCATATTCAATCTACTCATCCTTGATTTCCCATTCATTCCATATAAATAGACATCAGAGAAACAATGAACGATTATATATTTCTTTTTCATTTTTGCATTATTCATTCGATTATTTCGCAAATAATGCTTTTCTATACTTTTTTTCTAATTGCATATAAATTTTATATAAATACCCAACCTAATCAGTGTGTAGATGGCAATTAAATAATTTCATTTATAAAGATCATCATCATATTAATTTAGACACCCCTGTTTTCATCCTAATATATAATTGATTTTTTTCTTTTCCTCTGATTTTTCTCTTCGACGGAAAGTGAGCAAGCGAGTTGCTTGTGTGTATTGTCTGGACGTACTGGTTGATTTCCTTATGACCGGGATTCATTAGTAGTGGTTGGTGCGGGGTAAACACCGATTTTTTAATTAGATGACATTATATTATCTGATATATATATATATATATATCGAGCATCATATATTTTTTTTCATAGTCCTATGTAACAAATAGATAAGAACAGCTCCATTTTCTTTTTTTGAAATTTTTATAAAGCGAGGTCTCACTTCGCGCTTCTTACATATTTATCCCCCATTATTCGTTCCCTTTGCATTCCCCTTTGCGTTCCTTACATATTATTCCCCTTCGATTTCCTTACATATTATTCCCCTTTCGATTTCCTTACATATTATTCCCCCCCCCCCCTTTTTTTATTTTTTATTAGCTTATTTGTTTAATAATAGTCATTTCTTTATGATTAATAGTAAAGTTTGTTCATAATTAATCAATCTGATGTAAACTATTTGGTTTTGATAATTGACGGTTGACGCGTAACTTTAATAAAGATGTGACAATAATAAATCATCACAGATCATGAAATTTCAGGAATGACGGGTTCCATTAATTAGTCGATCGGATATTTCGTGCGTCAAAATCCCAGCACGCGCGTCTAACTTTATTAACATTAAATCAGTCACATGAATGATTTTGATTGGAACAAAATAAATTAATTTTTCTTCTGAACAGAAAAGATAATTATTGTCTCTTTTAGTCACTTTATTTACCTTATGCTTACTCTCCTCTAATCACTCTTTCTTTTCATATACCGTAGAGCAAGCACCTGCATACTATTAAAAAAATAACATAAACAATCCATTTCCTTATTTATGTTTGTAGTAATAATATTACTATTCTATATTTCGAAGGTATTTATGTACATGATTGATGACGAAGATGATTAAATAAATAAAAATTATCCGGAACAATAAAAGAATGCATGTAAATATATAAATTAGTTAATATTAATAAAAAAAAATATGACATTTATTCCCAAGGTAATGATCCGGGATATATTAATGTTTGATTCTCTGGGCAATAATCGAATAAAGAGGAAAGTGACGGGCAACTCAAATTATACGGGTGACTAGAATTTAGTTGAGTATCGTTAATTGAAGAAGACGGGTAGATACAAATAAATCACAAACAAGAATAAAATTATTGAAACTTCGTACCTTCTACGTGAAGGATTTCGGTTTATCTTTTTTTCGCGAAGTTTTCCGTGGCATCCATATAAATCATCTCGAAATGGACCCAAGGCATTAACATTCTATTTGTGGATATGATTCATTAATAGATCCGAATAACTAAATTTAACAAATGATATGTTCATATTTTTACCTCGCCCACCATTCGTCCCAGCGCACTATTATCTGGATCAATACCTACATAATTCAATCTTGTTTGATTACACAAAAGTTTGTTAACTAATTTGGTAAAAAAGATGATGCAATGTAAAGCGTAATCCAAATAACCACGTTATTAATTTATCTACCTTTCTATAGGAAACTTTAGAGCTGCACGATGCAACTCTAGAAATCGCCGTCGTTTAAATGCGAATCCTACAATTGTCACATTTCGTGGATAATGACCTGTTAATCTACATATTGAGAGGAAAAAAATATATGATTTTATTTCATGCTAAATTAACACAATTTTTCGTGTAAGGGAATCAAAGCATGAAATAATAAACAACACATTTTCTAGTACTCATAAAAGCGGCAAATTGAGAACAGTAGATTTTCGTAAGAGTCACGCGCGTATTCCTCTGTGGTGGCTCGATTAAATATTGTAGAATTCTCGAGTTTGGGAAACATGTGAAGTGATTCAGCAAGAACCTAGAGAATATTAATTAATGGTGTATTCCTATATATATGCGTGATATATAAAAGCATGAGGAATGGATTGTAAATAAAATTACCCAATAACTTTGTGATTCACTCCTTGGTCCTGCAGAAGGTCTTGTCTGTCCCCTGAAAAATGTACGATAAATTAAATATTTTTTTTGATAAATAAAGTCCCTGAATCCCTTCGCGTGTTCTTTTTTGGGACTAGAATATATTTACCCACTAAATATCAACAACGCCTCTCCGTTATCTATCGTTAATTCGACACCTTTCCTAATGTGCTTTAAAAATGTTTTCACTTGTTCACCTCCCTTCTGATAATCCTCCAACACCCAATCACTATCCTCCTCAACGTGTTCCAAATCCGAACCGACAAAAACCGCGTGGCCAGCCACGAGTACTAAATCTTGAAGTTGTTGGTGCGGTGGTGAAGGCAAGAATTGTTTCTCTGACAAACTAGCTTCATTATTATCGAGTAGTGTTTCTGTAGCTTGCTGGGTTGACACTCTTTCCACGCCGTCAATATGGCATGACATGAAATGGAAAGCGTTAATTAAAAGAGAGGTAGAGAATAAGAGACCGAAGAATGAAAGAAAAAGTGTTTGTCGCAAGCTTCGCTTAGAAGGTTGAGGAGGATATTCAGCAATGAGCGGAAGTCTTATAATGGAGGCTTTACGTTTGGGAAAAGCCATTTCTTTGACGCACTCGAGCATCACAAATGCAGCTAAAATACTATTTACTGTGTTACTGTTATATTACTATTAAAAATTGTCAGTCGAGGCACGTGAACGCGTAGATAATCTTAGCATATATAGATATTCAAATAAACCCTTACTTAAATTATGGCCGAGGAAACGATAACAAATCTTGCCAACATAAAGCACATTATACTTGTATTATCCGGTAAAGGGGGAGTTGGCAAAAGTTCAATTACGACACAACTGGCTCTATGTTTGGTGAATAGTGGAAACAAAGTAGGCGTGTTAGATATAGACCTAACAGGACCTAGCATACCTCGCATGCTAGGAGTGGATGAAAAGCAGGTTCACCAAGCTTCTACCGGGTATATTATCACTACTCTAATTATCAAATACAAGTTTTTAGAATTCACATGTCATATACTTGATTTCCAGGTGGGTACCAGTATACTTGGACGAAAATCAACAACTTTGTTGCATGTCCATTGGATTTTTGTTACAAAATAAGAATGATTCGGTCATTTGGCGAGGTCCAAAGAAAACAGGTCTGTATAATGATTCAATTATTTGTAATATCAGCTGTCGCTTGCTTATCGATGATTTTATTTTAGCTATGATACGGCAATTTCTTACCGATGTTTGTTGGGGTGAACTAGATTATTTGATTATTGATACTCCACCAGGTGAATAATTTAAAAATCGAATTTCTTTTTTCTCTAAATTTGACAAATTATTTTCTCTAATTATTTACTAATTGGAAACTTGATGACTGATGGTTTTTATAGGCACCTCAGATGAGCATATTTCTATAGCTGAATCGTTAAAAGATGTGAAACCAGATGGAGCAGTAATTGTTACCACTCCACAAGTGAGAGTTTAGAACTTACTACTCAAAATGGCTCAGCATCATGTTGATTTAGAAATAATATGTTTTTATCTTAGGCAGTGGCTTTAGCTGACGTGAGGAAAGAATTGAACTTTTGTAAAAAAGTAAAGTTGCCTATTCTCGGTGTAATAGAGAACATGAGTGGCTTTGTGTGTCCGCATTGTGAGGTTGGTGTGAAGTGTATTTTTTATCTGCGTTTTATACGAATCTGGATATTATGTTAAAATTAGTAAGAAACTAAATAAATTAATTCTTTATAGGAATGCACGAATTTATTCTCGACAGGCGGTGGTGAAGCTATGGCACGAGAATTTGAAGTAGATTTTCTGGGTAAGTGCGCTGGCCACAGTTGTCTAATTTGTTGAATTGGTATACTTTTATTCATTTTTTTTCAATACAATCATAGGCCGTGTTCCAATCGATCCAAGCTTTACGTTAATGCTCGAGCCATCATCAACACCAGAGTCTAATGATTTTAAAAACACGCTACTGGCTAAATACCCAAAATCAAATCTATTTCAAGTTTTTTCACGAATTACCGATAACGTGGTAGCAAAAGTATTGTGATTTATATTTGGCTCTTATCAAATTAATAATTATCAAGAAAGAAAATTTGGTTTGTATTTATTTATGAAACAAGATGGGCTTTTGTATTTGTATCAATAAATATATTTACGGTTATTTTATGTCACATAAAGAATTAAAAGCTTGTTACTTGTCAGGATTGAGGGAAAGTGATAGCCAAACCAGATGGAATGGAGGCTGCTGCATCAAGCTCTTGTGTATCAAGCAAAAGAGGGGCAAGAAAAGCTATTGAATGAAGTAAAAGCTAGTGAAAATGCAACAGATATCGATGATGACGTAGAAATCGATATCGATTGATCTTTCCTGGATATACACAAAGTGCTACCATTCTAAAGAGTTTATCTAGAAAGCGATTAACTGACATTCAAGAAGACGATTGGTGTTGGTAGCGGGTCTTTAGATCATATGAGAACTGAAGGAAGAAAAAGACTGAGAGCGTAGTTCGTCCTCCAAAGGAGCATTGTAAAGAGTAATGACATTTTCGTATCACACGCACTCATCTACATTGATGAATAGTAGTAATTTATTGCTAGTGGATCACCTTTATATATTACAGTAATACGGCAAATAGTTCAATTTGGTTTGTGAATTAAAGTCTGCCTGTTATTTGAAAAATCATGATACAGTTATTAGATCGAAATTAAAGCAATAAATTGCGTAAATACGATCAACAAACAACTATTAGTCCCATTGAATTATAAAGTAAATTTAATTATTGAACTGTTGTATTTCTTGTGGTTTACAGATAAGAAAACATGAATTAAATACATTATATCAAGTTAAAAAAAGGTAGTATTTAATAGCTTAAGTGATAAAAAATCATAAATTCAAGGAGGTATGTCATGCAGCATTATTAAAAATGCATAAAACACAACTTATAATTTTCCCAGAGCAAATTCGCTTATATCGACAGAAGAGCAAACTCGTTTAAAATCCGCATCACTAATAGGCTTGATTTCAATTGCTGGATTATAACCAAATCTCTTTTGAGGATCTTGTGATTTTTTGGGTTTGCCTAATCCTTCTGCTCGCTTATAAATTGTGACTACAGCTGCACCGCCGAGACCAATGTTATGCTGGAGCGCGTATTGAATGTTAGGCACTTGACGACTTTCACACCATCCACGCAATTGCCACACCTTTTGGGAAAAATAGGGATTTAAATTTTTGATTACATGAACAGCGATAGTATGTTAATAACTGCCTTACCAATTCTGTACACTGAGCCAGACCAGTAGCACCTATTGGATTACCCTTAGATATCAACCCACCTGAAGGGTTCACAACGTATTTACCTCCATAAGTTACATCACCTGCATCTATTAATTTATGGGCTTCTCCTGGCTTACAAAGGCCTAATGCATCATAAGTAATAAGCTAAAAAAAAAAAGAAAGATCAATATACCGAATATTCAACATGTTGAAAAAAAAGTTTATTACCTCATTTGCCGAAAAGCAATCGTGAAGCTCTACAACTTGAACATCATTTGGCGTAATCCCAGCTTTGTTAAATGCATCTCTTGCTGCTCGCCTTGTCATATCAGCACCAGCTAACTCAATCGAGCTTTTCTTTTCATATAATAATGGCGAATCTGTTGCCAATGACTGTGCAACTATTTCTATTGCTTGACCTTGAAGACCATGATTACAAACGAATCTTTTAGAGGCGAGCACAGCTGCGGCTGCACCATCCGCATTAGGGCAACATTGAACTTTAGTCAAAGGACCAAAAACATTCGGGGAAGATTTGATTTGATCAAGAGATAATATGTCGCGCAATTGCGAATAGGGATTATTAGCGCTGTGATAAGATATAAAAATTATTATATCATTCGGATCTTAACGTATTAAACGGAAATATATTGAATTTTACTAACCTATGCCTATGGTTTTTTTCCGCAATTTTCGCCATGTGATCAGGTGTTGCTCCATATTTTTCACAATATTCAATACCAGCATTACCAAATATTTGTGCAGGAATAGGAGCTGGCTCGAGACCGCGTGTCTTTGACATTAATAGAATGCTGAGTTCTATTAATATTAAAAAATGTGTATTAATTTATCTCGAGTAAAATAGCAATCATCGATAATAACATACCAACTGGGTGGACGCGATCAGTAAAATTGTTAGGCAAAGATCCTAAAGAAGTCCAAACCCAACTAAGTAATAAATCTGAAAATCAATATTAAACAAATCAATCAAATTACAAACCCGGAGCCATTTTCTCAAATCCCAAAGCAAGTACGCAATCGATGATACCAGCTTCAACGAGCTGACGTGCTATAAAAAGAGCGGTTGATCCAGTTGCACCATTATTATTAACATTACTAATAATTAAAGCAAGCAAGATTCATCGGATTTCAATTAATTATTAATCCTCTAGTTCAAATATAAGCGAAATATATAAATATAGAGAATACATTATTGGGATCTGTGTCATGCCAAGTTGATACAGTATTCTTTGACCGCAAGTAGAGTCCCCGTAACTATATCCGACTATTGCCTATTCAAATAGATCTTGTTTATCAGATTAAGGTTTTATTTAAATATGGTATTATTTTGAGAGGGATATACCTGTTGAATATCGTCATATTTAATTCCAGCGTCGAGTAAAGCTTTTGATGCGGCTTCACGTCCAAGCTCTTTAAGTAATTTATAATTCAAATGATTAGTTATATAAATTTGATCGACAAGATGATACAAATAAAATTGGCCATTTGGTCGATCATACTAATGAACATCGGCCACATGCAATATAAATAAACTTGCCAGGATAATCGGCTCGTCCTTGCGGCTTGGAGAATTTAGTCATTCCTACTCCGATAACATAAGCTCTTTCTTGTTTTCCGGCCATCTTGGTTCTGATTGAATCTCACTTGAACTATTACTCCACATAGTAAAAAAAAATGAGGTTAAAAGGCTTGAATTATTATAAAAAATGCTTAATAATGCCTTAAATAATTTAACTGTTTGTGTAAAACTGTATATCCGAGATTGTAAAGTCTCGGTTGGTTCAATTTGGTGATTTTCTAAGTAATTATTATTAAGAAAGTTATAGGTGACCTTGTTAACTTGATTAAACTGGCTAAGGTGTGGTTGAAATTTACAATCATCACGTGATCATCACATAAAGGTTGATCTATACTCTAATCTTGAGGATCGGGATCCGCGTCTACATAAAATTGACGCGTTTCGCTCTTTTTTATTCTTTGACAAAGATGTCTCAATTCATATGCATAAAGCCAACTAGTAAGAAAAAGATCCTTGGTTTTTCGATAATTTTACTACTATTATTATTAAATTGAACTTTTTTTCTAAGCTAGCGCAACCGAACTTTTATCGATAAAGCTTCCGCATCCAGTAACAGGTTATTTCTTATGATATTTTAACCGAGTTCTCGAGAAATTTTTCTCTCAAACATTTAATGTATTTGATTTATGTAGGTTTACCTGCACGTTATTTCATTCAAGATGGAAAACTTTATGAAGTGCAAAAATTGGAGAGTCAGGGAGAGAGATCTTGGTTTATTAATGAAACTGTCCAAAAAGGTATAAAAATATTATAGAGTCCAGAAAATAGTTTAAAAAGAGGTTGTGATTTTATGGCGGCCTCTTTTATAATGGAATGTGACTATATAAGGGGTGATTATATAGAGGGTATTGAGGGATGATTGTAGAAGTATATATTAGTAATAATTTCTTATTCTATACATCTATAGTGATTTTAATGAATTTCTTTTTACAGATGGATGTCTTTACATTATAACTAAAATAGATCCACTATTTGTTCTCTTGCCAATCTTGGTTAATCGCCGGAAAAAGGTTGCTTTAATCAAATATGAATAGATTGCTGCCTCTTTTCGTGATGATAGTTTAACTCTTTATCATTGCATTAGACATCAAATTCGCAGGGCTTTTTTCTATTGATTGAAGATCTATTAGACAACAACGAATATCCGAGTTTGATTAAATTATTGAATATTGTGAACATTGTGGAATACTGTGAATGGATTTGCGACACGAAAGGTTTGTTTGTACGAGATTTTGACTAAAATGGGGAATTTATCTTTTACGAATTCGATCAATCTTTTAATATGTATTTTATAGAATATGACACAAATAAGAAAGTTTTCCGTCTGAACGATGAAAAAGTTTTGGCTTGGTTACAGACAAAGGCAAGAAAGGCTTAATTTGATTGTTGCACTTAAAAAGATCTTATTTGGTGATTGTAAAATATGGATCGTATAGGTTTCTTATCTAGTTCAAGAATTCGATGAATTTGAGTCGTTACGAAGCTTGATAAAACGATTTGATAATGATTCATTATGTTCAGATATTCGACAAGGTAAAATTGACAAAAGATTCAATTAATTAATGGCATCATCTAATTACGGTTTTTTCCCCGGTGATAAGCTCTACGGACTAGGGCAGTCCTTGAACTGATGTCTGAATATCTCCCGTCTTATTGGATAAAAAAAATAACAGGATTATACAAGTAAGTGGTAAGATCTGCCCCCTTGCTATCTATCTAAAATTCTAAACCATCATTTTTTCTTTCAAATTCCGAAAATCTCTTGATAAAGTTTCGAGAAATTGGCTGAATTAGAAAAAGCAAATGATATCACGTTTGTAGATAATCCAAGTGACTTTTATGCAAGGCGATCATTAGAAAAAGAGTTTGATCCGGAAAAGCAGCAATCAGCAGCAAAGGTGATTAATCGATGATTTATTCGATGATGATTCTCCTGCTTTAAATTTTTATTGCACCTTTTGTTTTAATATCATTTCCGATAAAAACATAGAAACAAAAATTGACTCGTTCACAAGCCGCTCTTGCAAAAGTAAATACAAAGGGTATGAAAAAACTAACAACATTCTTCACTAAACTTCCTAACGATACTTCAAAAAAATAGAGCCATAATCACTAGACTTATAATTATTACATTAAAAAAATGTAAGCAAAAAAAATAACACGCGTATTATTTTCTAATTGGGGTAAAAAATTTTAAGGTTATATATATAATATATAGTACGTAAAGAATAATGTATATTATTAAAATTTGCCTAATTGATGAATGAATGCTATATAATAAAATCAAGTCAGGCTACTAGAAAATGGATTGTTCTTATATTTGTTAAGACAAAAAATAATTTGATTCGATTCATGATCTGACAGTTTTTTCGAGACATTCTTTTGCTTCGTTGATCTTCGATGCAATATAAGGAGATCCATTAAGATCAGGATGATTAGCCACCATAACCTTACGGTGCGCATCTTTAATTTTGTTTCTATTAAGACCATTAGGCCTACAAAAATATCAAATCAATTAAAATAATAAAGTGAGAATAAATGCCATTGAATTCGAATAGCAAAAAGGTACCTTAAACCCAAGATAAGCAACGCTTCCTTTTTATCGACTTTTTGTTCGAATCCACCCATATACTGTTTGTGCATAACCACAGGCGATGATTTTATATATGAAAACGGATTTTGAACATTCTTTGCAATTTGTGGAAATTTTTTCACCAATTGTCGACCAGTCAGGGCAGCTATCGTGACACCTAATCCAACTAAAATTGGCGTCGAAGCCTTTTTTATAAAATAATTAAAAGTGAGCATTTTGTTTAAAATGATCTCATAAAAAAATTGTCAAGCAAGTAACGACAATGTCAAATAGCAAAGTTTCAATTCCTGTTAAGCAACCTTTTGATCTTACCATACTTGAAGCTGATTTATTTGATTTCGACGATTCCAACTTTAAATCTCTGGGTTATATAACTCGTTTTTGAGAAATTGCGACAATCATTCAATAGGCAGGATTAACATATGATCCGCCAAAAAAAGGACATAAAATTAAACCATTTTGTTTATACTTTTTTTTTTGGATCAATCTCTCCACTATGATACTTGAAGAGACGTTTGTTGACTCGAGCTCAATGGACAATAACAACAATAAAAATGAACTTTCAACCTTGTCAGCTGAACCAATTACCAACATTAATGGCTGGACGCATGCAAGTGTTAATGGTGACTCTTCGAACGGTGATGCTTCACTGAACCGTGAGATGATTCTTGATGATTCTTCCTCAATTCAACCAACGGATCTTGCGAAAATCTATGAACAAGTTTACAGTTACGCCGAAACACCAAATCCCTTACAAGCGTCTGTTAAACATTCTCTTGAAATCATAGAAGAGGCATTGAATAGATATGGGTCAGTTTCTTGATTTTCTTTTTGTGCTCAAGTTATATAGGAGCCTCCGTCTCAATTCTTTTGTAATAGAGCCAATGGGTTGGCGCTGTCTTTTAATGGGGGAAAAGACTGTACTGTGCTTTTACATTTATTCTCGGCAGCTCTTTACAAATTCACACAAAAATTCGGTGAAAAAATACCAAAAATTCAGTGCGTATATATTACTCCTCCCAATCCTTTTGCCGAGGTGGATACTTTCGTGGAAGAATCTATACGCCGATACGGATTAGATCTTATTAAACTAAAAGGTCCAATGAAACAGGCTTTGGCTAGTTATTTGAAACAACGACCAAGCGTGAAGGGTATACTGGTTGGTAATAGAAGAAATGATCCGTATAGTGGCAAGTCTATTTTTTCAGTTTTATTTCGTGGTTTTTGTCTACGAATTATTATACTCATTCAACGTTATTGTGTTGCTTAGTACACCTATCCGATTTTGCACCAACTGATCCTGGCTGGCCTAATTTTATGCGCATACACCCTATTCTCGATTGGCATTACAATCAGATATGGGAGTTTTTACGCAATCTAAAAGTGCCTTATTGTGATTTATATAATCTGGGGTAAGCTAAACTACTTTAATTCTCGGTGAAAATATCCGGCCGGTATATTCTGATCTGAAATGAACATTTCTAGATATACTTCCCTCGGTAGCACTGTCAACACAAGGGCAAATCCAGATCTCCGTAACCCTAATAATCCTAATGGTTTCGATCCAGCCTGGAAGTTAACAGACGAGAGTAAAGAACGAAGTGGACGAGCAGCCGAAACATACACCACGAAAACAATACCATCTAATTCGACAACATCGGTGATAACTACAAAAGATGAATCTAACTAGTAGTGATCCCTTTTAACTTGGACAATTTATAGAACATAATATAATTGAATACATGAAATCGTTGATCGTCATTATTCTTGTAGAGCTTTATGAGCGCGCAACTCATGAGCACAAAAATGTCTTTAATTTATTTAATATTTTGATCTATCTAATTATATAAAATCTTTCGAGTTACGCATCCGTTAATAAAAATCAATACTAAAGACTTCAAGATCCTTTATTACGATTATATTTGACAGACATCTAATTCTATAACTTTTTGCCCTGTTGATATTATTTTTTATTGATGTTTCATTAATAAGGTCGCAACAGCAAGACGAATGATTGGTTAGTTTGTTGGTCTTTTGTGAAGTTTATTAGACTCAATACTTTCACATTATCAAATAAATCCAAGTTTGGTTATCATGTTTTGCATAATTTTTCACGGCGTAAGCCTTCTAGTTTTCATTTCGTGTTTTGCCATGTCTTCCGAAAAGAATACGCAATTACTGTTTGAAGAACATTATCATTGTTGCTTTTTCTCGAACAAATTCATAGGTTGAAGAGTATCTGGTTTGACTTGTACTGCTACTTGGTGATCGTTTTTTTGAAGGTTTTATCACGCGCCAACCCAACCGTATTAATAATTGTTCAAAAGTTATCCATTGTGAAGTTATTTTCGAAGTTTTAATTAGTGTCGATTACACCGAAACTACTTGTTTCTCGATTCTTGAGAATTACTTTCTTTAAAAATAAATTATCGTATCACATTTCCGCGCATTTTTTTTACTCTTGATTAATAGCGCCGAGTATTTTCGATTGTTTGACGCGCGTTCTTATTGTGTAGGTTCTTTGTTTTTGGGGTTTAAATAGTCAAATAGATCTGTTTCTGCAAGATTTACGCTATAATTTTTTCGTGAATATCACAATTGCCTATTATTAACAAGTAATTAGAATTATTCGAAAAATCATGTGGACATATTTATTATCTAAGATAGACTTTTCGTCCGATCAATAATAAATTTTTTTTTGAAAAAGGGGTTTAAAAGAAAAGTATTGTACAAAAAACAATTACTACCAATTTAATGTAGTATTTTGGTCAAATAGGAAGTATAATAATATATAATCAAAGACCGACAAAAAATAGATCCAAGTTATATATTATTCTTTCCACGTGCACAAAAAAATCGGAAAACTGTCAATCAATATCGAATACTACGAAAAAACAAACAGCCCGAAAAGAAACAAAAATAAATATTTTAAGAGTAATTAATAAAATAATAATAAAATAATAATAATAATAAGACTACACTACAGCAATAATAATATAATAATAATAATAATAATAATAATAATAATAATAATAGTAGTAGTAGTAGTAGTAGTAGTAGTAGTAATAGTAATAATAAAAAAGGTAAACAAGTCTAATCCAGGCATGTAGGTGAAAATTGCAATCACGAATTAATTGAATTGTTCATATCCTCCAAATCGAGATTAATAAAGAGCACAAATAAATTTTCGTAAACTCCGAGAAAGTGTAAAAAAAGGATATCAATAAGGCAATAATGTTTGTTCATCAAAAAGCAAATACTGCTTATCTCATCATTGATAAGGGTTTTTTCCCGTGAATACACACCGGATAGCTAAAATAAGAAAGAAATAAAATTCAAGGTGATGGTTCATCTCACAAATTTTGAGTTTTTAATCATAAACATATAAGTTACTTACATAAAATTAATATACAACAGATAATATACGAAGTTGGTAATAATCCTATAATCCTTCTTCGCCACCGCTAATGTTGGCACTTGAAGATCCCATTGACCGTGGATATAAACCTGGACTTCGCAATGATTTGCCATACAATGCATTTTTTAGAGCACGTGATGCAAATACCGTCAGACCAATTCCGGCCCAATCTTCCTCTAATAGATCACGTAGATCACCAATTGTCATAATATCTTGATGCTTTAGTTTTGTTGTCCATTCTTTGGCCTTTTCAGGATCACGATTAGTAGCAACCGCTGTTTCGTGAACGAAATCTTCTATTGGAGTTTCATTCGGATAATCTACATTTAATGTGTAAGAAGGGTTAGGGATTGTAATTCAAAAAAATATAAGAACTTCATTAAATACGACTATTACCTTTTAACGGTAATATATCTTCTAATTCCTCTGCTTGCCATTCTTGTGTTCTGCGTAATGAATCTGATGTTACTGGCCCAGAACTTGTGGAGTTTGGACTATTATCACGATCAAGTGTTAAGGGTAGTGCAAAAGATCCTGGTGAATTGTGTGGAGGCAAATGGGGGGAAATGCCACCGGGAAAAGGCGGTGTTCCTGGCAGGGAATTCCAATGTCGAATTTCGTCATTCGAATCATCATCTTTCGATGCTTTATTCAAATCACGCAAAATTCGATTGATCTCATGCGTAATAAATTGTTGGTATTTTTGAGGCAGAACACTTTCGTCAATCTAAAGTGTGTTATTTATAATAGAAATATTATTAATAATTCGATCCCATTACGACAAATATTTATGAGAGGGTTAATCTTACCATCTCTTTAACTACTTCCTCTGCAGTATCTTTTTCCACTTTAAAATCAAATTTAACCGACAAATTATCCATCCCTTTAAAGACTACTTGCAGTTTCAGATGAGTTCTTCTCTCATCCGCTGCTATTAACACTACCTCAGGTTCCACTGTGAGGAAAGGATGGACCACTATTTGTTCAGCGGTATATCTTTGAGTTTACAAAAAGGCAGCAAGCAACTATGGTCAATCAATCAATAATTCATACACGATTAAATGGAGCGATCACCTTCTTATTAAAAGAGGGCAGAAAATGATTATTCTCCCATTCGAGACAATCTACCTTTCATTTTCAGGACTCAAACAATTATTTATCAAGTCTAGAATTTCTTCGTCTTGAACTTTTGCTAGACTTTCCGGTCTTGTACCCTATTGTAGAATTCATGTGAATTAATAAGCATAGGATACACTAACAACAATAATAATTTGCGGGGTTATTACTTACTTGAATGACTTTTTTATATATTTGAGCGGCATTCTTACATTCGCTATAAGGATATTCGCCAGTGACCATTTCTAAAAGACACATCCCGAAAGCATAAATATCCACTTTTTCGTTATACCCTCGTTCTTCGTACATTTCGGGAGCCATAAACTCAGGCGTTCCTATATAGTATATGATTGGTTATTTAGGAAACCAACAACATTCATTATATATACATATAATATATATATGATATTGATTTAGATCGTAATACATATTAAAATAATACTAGAAAGAAAGAGAGCGAGACAGTTCTTTGCCTGCCTACTCTCAAACCACCATCACACAAAAAAAAAGTTTGGATTTGCACTGCATACCGATGACGGTATACTTCTTTCCAAGTTTCATTTTGGCGGTTCCCATGTCGCCGATTTTCACTTCGCCATGTGCCCCATTAATGAATATGTTATCGCATTTGATATCACGGTGGATGATTGGCGGATCGTGTGAGTGAAGATATATTAGACCTTTGAGTATCTGTCGAGACCATCGTTTCACGATTTTGGGATTCGGTAGCGAGAGTTTACGAATATATCTAATTTATGTTAGGTTAATTAAAAACTATAATTTTGCATCTAAAGATTAAGATAAGAAGGAGTGTTTCTATCATTTACTCCCGCAAAGTCCCAGATGTCATCAATTCTGTGACAAAAATGAATTCAGCATCTTTATACCAACAGTAATGAAAATTGATAATATTCGGATGCCGAACTTGTCTTAAAATTTCGATTTCTTGATTTAATTCAATATATTCAGCTCGTGTAGTCTTTGATAATAACATAAGATTGAGATATATTAAGAAAATTCCACAATGTTATTTTACTCTTGGGATAAATGCAACAAGACGAATATACCTGAAAGCAATTCCACGCAACTTCATAACCTTCATCACGATCAATGGCTTTCCAGACGACCTTGTAAGCTCCTTTTCCCAAAACCGTGTTCAGCTACCAGTTTATTAAGAAAAAATAATAAAAATAACACAACCAGACAGACACTTTGCATAAAGCAGAATTCTTTTCTTTAAATGAATAGCAATAATGATAATGATATATTTGATACGAGTTCATACTTTAGCATATCTGCCATTAGGACTTATTTCGATAACTGTCTCGGGGTCCTGTTTTGAGTGGTCAAATACTCCATTAGACGGAGTAACCGGTGAAGCTCCATTAACATAAGAATCTGGCATATGATAAACATGCGAGTCGTTATTTGAACCGTTTCTTCCATTCGAATTGATTTTAATATCATTGTCATTGCCATTTGATGCTACACCACTCCCATTAAAGTAGTGTACTCCATTTTTTTCGGAAGAATGGTTTCCGTTGGTGACAGAATGAGACGTATTCATAAAAAAGACCGACACTTTAACCGGGCAAAATTTAATATCGTTGACGTTCAACTAAAGGAAATTTGAAGTTATCGTCCTGTTTGCGTCAAGTCTTACACGTTGGATAAGATTGAATAGCCAATCAAATTTTCAAGAATCGAAATCCATGACATTGTGATGCTAAATATGGCCACTTTATTATTCATTCTGTTTATTGATATACATGACATTCAAAGATTTAAACTTCCTAGAGATCTAGACAGCAAATACCATTATTACTTCAAAATTTTACCTTCCCTACGCAATTCATTATATAGGGTTAAAGCCGACAATGCTTTCATATCGGGTATCTTCCATAAATCATTCAGTTTTACAAGCTTAACAGTAATACTCTCGCCATGTTCTCTTAAGCCGCACAATCTTCCCTCCAATTCCTGCACTTGTTCGCGTCGCATTTCCTTTATGCATAGACATAACCTCATGAATTCATCACATCCTCCAGGTGAAGGATATGCGCCACGATACTTTTCACCAAAAGATAATCCGGTCATGTCTATAAGTTCATGATCCTTAATTTCTAGCCCAGTTTCTTCCTTTATTTCCTCGCTTGCCTTTCCAGCAAAATTTCCAGATCCATCCAACATTCCTGGACATTATTACAACGATAAAGCAATTATCAAAGATTCGCGGTATTATATAGATAAGCGAAGGTTTTTATCTAATACCTGCTGGTAGCTCCGGGAATCCAAATGACGGAACAGCTATACGTGGTTGGACTGTAAGAACCACGTGTTCTGATACGATACTACCGTCATTCTCCTTGGACCGAAGAATCAATAATACCGCTACAGAGCCACCTCGCTACATACAAATCAATACAATGTTATTTTTATTTTTGATAATAAAGAAATTTAAAAAATTCAAACCATAAAAACTATTCCTGGAATATTCTTTCCGTTTTCCTTTAATCGTGCATCAATTTTGAATTTTATAAACCCAAGCTTTGGCCCAAAGTAATCCACATTTTGAATTTCAACTTTCTTAACTTCTAATTCTTTTTCCAAATCGTCATGTGTTTCTTTTGACAAAGCATTGACCCAATCTACAAAAGGTGGGAAGCGAAGTACCGCCGGAATGTCAATATCACCATGTACGGCTGTCACTGGTATTTGGGTGCCAGCAATATTGATAGGCTGCTCTTTTGACATGTTGATTAAGCCACGAGTAAACCTGTTCTTAGAATAAAAAGTATTTTTGCGAAAATTTCTTTTGCAATTAATATTTCGAACAAAAGGGGAGGCAAGGAGTATAAAATTTCGAGAATAATAATCCATAGATATAATAACTATAACTTTAACAAATATGATTGGCTGAGATTTTTTACGTTTACTATATGACTTAAATATTAAAAATCTTGCTGCGTTGAATTACACGATGGCTGCCCAAATTACCACTACACCTGATGCATCTAATCAAGCTTCTAGTAATGGAGGTAAGTACTTTTTGGCAGATAATAACTAGAATCTTAAAACTTGTCAGACCTTTATTATAAAGTGTGCTGAAGCTTTATTATTTACCCTATTAGATGTCGAACTCGTAACAGAAAAATTTGACGATTTAATGAAATCGCATGACGATAGTAGTTATCAAACTCTTCTCCGGCAACTTAAATTCTCTTTCAAATATTATTGCTGTAAAACCTTCTCATGAAAAAATACTTTACATTACACAGTTAAACATAGTGCACTCCAAGAGTCAACTAATGAAGTTGAAATCCAGACAGCCCAAGCAGGTTCTGAGCTATTATCTGTAAAAAATTTTGAAGAATTAGGATTGTATGTCTTGATTTATTGTGTGTAATCACCAACTATCTTTGAACATATATGGGATTTCCATTAATGATACTTTATATATTTTAGAGAAAGTGATTTATTAAGAGGTCTATATGAAATGGGATTCTCGAGACCATCAAAAATACAAGAGAAAGCTCTACCACTGCTGCTTGCAAATCCGTATGTGGATAATCTCAGTGCTAGCATATATTTATTTGTGTATGCGATAGCATTAATGATTAAATAAACTAATTCTGTTCTTTAGCCCTCAAAATATGATTGGTCAGTCTCAATCGGGTACCGGAAAAACTGCAGCCTTTGCTTTAACTATGCTTAGCCGAATAAATTACAGTTCAGAGACAACACAGGTAATGATGAAATAGATAAACACTTTTATTTGCAAGTAAATCAAAATTAAATAATGGATTATTATAAAAGGCAATGTGTTTGGCACCTACTCGAGAATTAGCGCGGCAAATCACGTCTGTTATAAAGAAGATGGGGAAATATACAAAGTTGACACTCACAGAGGCAATTAAAGACGGTTACGATAGAACCCAAAAGATCAATTCTCATCTAATAGTCGGGACACCCGGTACTCTTACAGACATGATCCGAAAACGACTGGTTGATACTAACAATGTCAAAATATTCGTACTGGACGAAGCTGACAATATGTTGGATCAACAAAGTCTTGGTGATCAAAGTATTAGGCTCAAAAAGTGAGTCATCTTTTAACTATACATACCTTTACTTTCACACGAGGCATTTTTCTTAGCACATTATTTTTTTCTTTTTAGTATGATGCCCTCTACGTGTCAGATAGTGTTATTTTCAGCGACTTTTTCGGATCAAGTTAGAACCTTTGCGGAGCGATTTGCCCCAAATTCAAATCAATTCAAACTGAAAACTGAAGAGCTATCAGTAGAAGCTATTAAACAATACTTTATGGATTGTAAAAGTGCAGAACACAAATTCGAAGTTTTAGACGCTCTGTATACACTGTTAACAATCGGTCAAAGTATAATTTTTGTGCAGGTATGCGATAATAAAACTCGTACGATAAATTTTTGAAAATATCTTTACAAAATATTCATTCAACTTTATTACGGAAAAGAAACGTGAAACAGCTGATACGATTGCGAGGAGAATGACAGAAATGGGTCACAAAGTCATTAATATACACGGTGGGCTTTCTCCTACCGAACGAGATCAGGTGATGGATGGTTTTCGTCGTGGGGACGCCAAAGTACTCATCACCACTAACGTTTTATCACGAGGTATTATCTTCATAAATATATCGTTTTTTTATCTTCTTATTATCCAAAAACGACAGCTTAACCGATATATATTATATTAATTCAGGCATTGACGTATTACAAGTAAATCTGGTAATTAACTACGACCTTCCCGTGGATATGCACGGTAATCCCGATTACGAAACTTATTTACATCGTATTGGACGCACTGGCCGATTTGGTCGCACAGGTGCTTCTATTAACTTTGTGCACGATACTCAAACATGGAATATTGTAAAATCATTCGAAAACTATTTTGGACGGGAAATTATTAGAGTGGCAACAGAAGGGTATAGCGAAATTGAAAGATTGTTAAGAGATGTTCATTAAAAAGAAAAATATGAAAAGCGAGAGGAAAAATTCTATTTTCAAGTTCTGTTAAAATACTAATTTTTGCTATTTGACTATAAATTATCTTGCAATAAAATTGAAATTAAATTATGATGTTTCACGAGAACTCCATGTATTAAGCTTCAATATTACATTATATTCAATTTTCAATTCAGTATATTTTAATGGAATTAATATAATTTGGTTCTTAATTCTTATATGATTTAACTATAGCAGGAGTGATTATAGAGATTCGATTGTAATTGATTACAAAATTTATATAGTATTACACTTTTATCAATATACTACTTTTTACAAAGTTTAAACTTTCCAAATTTGAATGTATGAATATTATTCGTTATTGTTATCGTTATAGGAAGTTGATTATATACAATTAAGAAAAAGATCATTGAAAAGCATATTTTAATTTTAGAAATTAATTGTAGATATATCAAAACAAATTATAATGATAATACATAAAACATGTTTTTAAGATAAAGGTCTGTCTCTTAGGGCGGGGGAAATGTAAAGGGTTATTTTTTCACCAATAAATCAATCAATCACTTTTTATCATTGTATAGTATCGGAATTTCTCAAACAGTTAAACTTCAAAATAAAGATCAATATATATATATATATATATTGATATATATATGTCATATTTTACTGTCACTTTTTAATAAAAATAATGAGAATTAAAATGAACACGATAAATTTATTATGGAGTTTTCTGACTATCTTCTTTTTATGTATTCTTGGTGTAAAGTCGGGTAATTATAAAATTCCAGTTTATAAAAAATCATTTACGTTTCATTAATGGTTCTATTACGACTCAGACCAAATAATTATAACATCACCAACACCATATCAACAATTCCCTATCTGTTCAACAATCCCAATTGCGATAAAAATCCAATACGAAGGTCTTGCACTTCTCGAAAATGTAACGCTACAAACTTTAGACGCCGATACCGGAAAAATAGCCGAGGACGACTTGTACTATATTAGTCGGCAAGATTTTGACAATGATCGAGCATTTAATACTACGTTGTTTCTTGATCCCGGAATTTATGTGCCTAAAGATCATGACTTGGCGACGGGAATTTATACGATTCATGCAATTGGCGATTGTACATATTTAAATACAACTAGCGGCGAAAAACAGCATATACAGATTTTTAAGGATGTTAATTTTACGATTGTTAACGATGCTAATCTGTAGCGCCTGGACCTAGTACGTATGTGTTTTTCTTTTGTTATTTCGTAGTTATTGTTGTCATGATTTTTAATCTTTTTATTTTGCCAAAGCTCCAATTCTCATCGACGTCGTTGGATGAGACATCATTTGCGGTCTCTATTCAAACATTGAGCAATATATTAGTGATCTAATGCGTGCGACTGTTTAACGAATTTTTTGCATAGCGATAGCTAATGATTTTCTTCAGACATGTATTGAATAACAATTTCAAAAATGTACTAAAAACCAACAAGATATCAATATACAGCTGGCAGTTAACCTAGAAACGGAATTTTTTAATCTATATTCAATCATATATCCGATAACTAGAAAACAGCACTTTTAAAAGATCCAAAATATATGATTAAATCTTTTACAGCGTGTATTATATGCAAAATATTTTATAGCCCTCTTCTAGGCATACATACATGTATATCGATATCGATATCGATATATATTTGTTCACTACTGTAAGCTCCTCAGATTATTCCAGTAAAAATATGGAATAGAGTTATTTTCGTAACTAATTCTAATAAATCTCGTTATAGTAAAGACATCGGGGTAAGGGGAAAAAATTCTTCACTATATCGAGTGGGCTGTAAAAACATAGTTCACATAGATCATAAAAGGATAAAACGAAAAGAGATAAAAATAGATAAATGCATGTTGAAATCATATTATCCACATGATATTTCGATTCAATAGTACATTCAGATGTTATTTTTTGGTTTATATTTATAATTTTAGTTCTCGTATTTGGCTTTTTTTATATTTTATACATAAAAAGTTATAGAAAATCATGCAAAAGAAAATTGTTCCCAATCAAATCTTTTGGCTATTGGACATAGCTTCCAATATAGAAATTGGAAGGTTTATTGAAATTATTTGGAAGCTTCTAAGAACTTCACCGAGTATTATGATCCACATGAGTTTCTTTCACAAATAGCAAGAAAAAGAACCGGAGGCAGTTGATTCTCCTTCCTCATTGGGGATTAATGTCGATGAAGCGAGAAATCAAAAAGTAGGTAAGAGCCGGGAAGGAAAAAGAGGAACGAGAGAAAAGAACTACAAGGACGAATTGATAAGTTCGTGATTAGATTGGTAGCATTCTGTAAAGAAAGTGAAAATCAAAAGGAATTACAGCCGAACTCGAATCTATACTAAGAAATTCACTTTTCAATCAACTGAGCTAAAGCCTCATACAAAGAACTCATTTCTAGGGTGACTGAACTTGAGTCTGCAAAAAATGGAAAGAACATGGACGTCAAGGATGGAGAAACACGAGCTTAAGGCGGGTGAAAGCATAAGAAATTAGAGAAAAGTTACAGAACTTGGAAACACTCGTCTCTAATTGGAGTCTGCACAAAAAGAACAGAAGCGCAACGAACCGGAAGAACCTTGAAAAGAACGACGAACGCAAAAGGGATTAGAGCAAAGAATAACTAGCTAATTAACAACAAGGAAGATGTCCTGCGGGACGATAAAAGCTTTACGTGTATTATTCTTAGCCAACAATAAATTTTTCGTGTGAACGTGAAAAATTCGAGTTTTATAAACCTATCAAATGAATTTTAAAATTTTTAAACCGTTATCTTAAAACTGCAATGTTATATTTATCAATATAATGCAATTGAAAAAAATATAGACTTTTCTTAAAAGTCAATCTTTTATTATTTTATCATAATCGATTTTACCCCCACGAATGCTCAGAAAAAGTGCCCAGCCCAATCCAGTAGCCTTCCAAAGAAGTGCCCATTAGTAGCCTTCCAAAGAAGTGCCCATTAGTAGCCTCCCAAAGAAGTGCCCATTAGCAGCCTCCCAAAGAAGTGCCCATTAATAGCCTCCCAAAGAAGTGCCGAGTGAATGAGAGATTCAGAGTGTTAGCAACCACTCCTTAAATACATTTTTACTCCCATTTTGCAAAATTGTGGGTTTCAGATCAGATCTAAAAATCGAAAAATTATTGATGACATATTTTATATTTTTGTATAAATAATAAGCGTTAACCTCTAAAATTCTGCGCACCAGTTAATGTTAAATTAAAGTTAAAGGTTGATTTTAAGGTTAGGGTCAGGGTCAGAGTCAAAGTTAGAGCCAGAGTTAAGATTATATGTAAAGTTGCCTCCCCTACCAAGCTAGGTTTGCATTTTTTCATTTTCTTGTGTCGGGTTTGTTTTGCCGGGCTGTTGGTCACACATGATTATGTGACCAGGAACCGGTAAAAATTGTGATCGTGACATATCTTGTTATCACGATGACAATATAACCGTTTTGTTTCGCTGACAACAGCGGCTTCTACAAGTTCAATTTTAAGCGGTGGTAACTCTGCTGTATTTAGCCGTATATTATTGTTTAATTCCGGCTGCTTTGTAAGGGTGTTTTCGCCGTGAGTTAGTCGTCGCGAATTTCTCTGTTTCGTGACGATTTCCGAGTTCTTGTGGTGGTTGCGGTTTGTGGAAACTCTCCAATTCTGATTTGGAGCACCGAATTTTTGTTTTATGGGTTTTACTGATGGGCGTTTTATTGTTTCTTTGATGTATGGTGATTCTGGGGCTCTTTCGCCTAAATGCCGCAATTCGGCGGTGAATCTTCCGTTGGCCGTTGCTTCTGTTTACTTAGTCATTGCCGCTATTTTGATTTCCAACATGAATTCAAATTGGATGGAAGTATTACTAGAGCTCGAGTAAGGATTAGAGTTAATACTAAAGAATAAGAGAGTTTGTAGTCTTCTTATGATTCATAAAAGAATATTGAACACTCCATTTTGAGAGAATAACAAGAGTAAATGTAAATTCTTTCAGACTAGCATATATTTAATTTGAAAAACAGACAAATGCACATTATTATAAAGTGATTTTTCACTTTGGTAGGTGGTAATTAGATATGTACAGTGGGCACTCAGTAAGATAACATCTCGTTATAACGATAATAGCACAAAATCTCTTCCCCCGATCTCATTACTGTAATAAGCTTTCATGGTAATATCTCGATATAATAACTTCTCCCGATCACGTTATTGTATCCAGCACCCATTGTATTTTCGAAATTTATCGCTTAATTCGTCAAACACAGATATAATTTAAAATATGCAATAAAAAAAACCAATCGACAAATTTAATACCAATTTCCCTTACTGTTTTTGGTCTAAGCTCAAAATTTATACACATATACTTTTTAAAAATTTGCGATATTAAAATTCATTTGCATATTCTTAATTTTCTTCTCTGAAACAGAAGATCGAGTTTTTTAAGGGATTTCTGAATCTTTCTTAAAGAGGTGACAAATAGAATTTTTGGTTTTTATATCTATCCCATGCTGGCTTTGAGCCAGTTTGTGAAATAATTTGATTTTGATATTTAACTTATGATATTTACTTGCTAAATGCAAAATTTTTTATTAATAAAAAAACTTGAGACACTTTTAATCTTACTACGTCAAAGAATCTCGCGCGAAAGTATTCGTTGCCAAATATGGCGAAAAATGATGATACTTTTTGAAATAGACACTACGCGAGAGTGTGCAATGAAGTCATATCGGTTAACTGCGCCAAAAAAGTCCAATTTTAAGTGAATGTCGTGATGTATTCCACATATGTAGCGGCAATTAATTGGTCATTAGTAACGGCAACTTTTCAATAACTAAAAACGCTCAATAAGCTGATGGTGGTGAAACCATATCGATCTTTTCGTCATTCTTTCTCTTTTTTTTCTTTATTCTCCTTGGTTAATATCGTCATACAAAGAAAGAAGTAAAGAAAATTCTTTGTTGAACGAATAATGAATACGAGAAAATTTCTAGAAAACACGTGCGTAGTGGTGAAGTGGTGTAATAACATAATCGAACCTTCTTGTGGTTTTCTTTCTTGCTTTACCTGCAACGAATAGATTTCTTGATTTCAGGTAGACGAAGATAAATGCTCGGATACAATTGAATTCGTCCAAGAATTTGTGCGCGAAATAATAAAAATATTTATTGTGGTACCTCATTACTATTATTATCATTATTATTATTATTATTCTATGTATCATCAGTGATGTTAATTAATAATACAGTATTTAGTGTATGTACTTTCAAACACTAATACTGTTACTCCGAGAGTTTCTATAGTGTCTATAGTATTTGTTACGTCTATAACAAAAAAAATTGATAATAGTTTTCTCATCAAAACGCTATTTTTCATGCAAAGATACCGTCAACGCTGTTAAATAACAAAAACCAAGCTTTCAATAACCAAAATATCAAGTTTTTGGTGTGTCTTGGCAGTCAGTCAATCAGTCAGTCAGTCATTCATTCTACGCGAGTGTTTCAAGAACCAGTTAGGCTCCTTTAACAATCACCAAAAACATACACCTGGCTCCTCGGCACTTCTTACTTCAAGATAATGAAGCCTTGTCGCTTCGTTATTATTTTTGGGGTATTTTTATGCCTCAGTACCTTTCTTTCGCGTGTACACACCACAACTACTTATATACGAACTCAATCGAATTGTCGCAGTCCATCTTGTTGGACTCTGGCTTCTTCAAACCGACTACGGTCAAACAAACGTGACGAAAGAAAAACTTCTATCCATAACCATGGTAGTATGAAGAAATTTTTTATTATTTTATTACTTTGTTAGTTTTTGAATTCTTTTTATAAAGATCTAATAATTTACCAAACATGTAGATAATCCATTTCCGTATCATACAACGTATACTCAAGGCACGGATGCTAATAATAGTAATGGTACTCAAGACACGGATGCTAATAATAGTAATGGTGGTGATGATATTAAAACAACAACTAACGATAAATTGAGTAGTAATAACTCGATAAACATCCAAGAAATTGAACAGGACCGTAAAAGAGACGAGGAAATACAGGAAGAAACAACAACCATCCATAAAGTGATAGTGATATTATGTTCGTTAGGGGGTGCTCTCTTATTGGTGGCTATTGCGATCGCAATGCTTTATTGGAAAGTTCGTCAACAACAAAAAATTACCAGTGCTAAATATTTATCTAATCATCACGATGACATTACACCTTTATCAAGAAATTCCGAAAATAACAGTTATACGGATGGTGGTAGTGGTAGAAATACTACAAATGATGGATCTAGAAGTAATAGTAGAAATAATAGTAGAAATAACAACAACAACAACAACAATAACAACAATAACAACAATAGCAACAGCAACAACAACAACAACAACAACAACAACAACAACAACGATAATAATAACAACAACAACAACAACAACGATAATAACAACAACGACGACTACAACAACAACAACAACAATAATAATCATAACAATAATCATAATAATAATAATCATAACAATAATAATCATAACAATAATAATCATAACAATAACAACAATAATAATCAGACAATACAAGAAAAAAGTACCGCACCAACAGAACCTCCAGTTCATCTATTGTATAACATCCAAGTTCATAATTTACCACCACAAGCTACTGCTCCGACTGCTCCACCCGCAGAAAAAATTGATTTAGTGGTTAATGATTATGAGGATGATAATGAACATTTACAAGGGCAACTAAATAGAAAAGGACATTCCTTAAATCCTCATCCTACGTTACCACCAGCTTACACGCCCACTGCACCTCCACTATATTCATTATCATCTGCTCATCATCCAGATTACAATGCTGCTGGCCCTTCAATACAAGATATAATATTAAGTACGGAGGGAGCTTATTTTATTCCTTCTGTTCCTGTATATCCATCCTCGGCTATCGTACGATCATCTACATCACCGATTGTAGCAATACCACAGACAACAATAGCTGCTACGTTGCCTGTTCGAAGACAAACTGCGAATAATTTCACGCTTGAATCAACTTCATCTTCATTAACAACAACAACAACAAATTCGTCACCATCTTCACCAACAGAAAGTAACGCCGATCACTCGAAACCCAGACGTACCAGACATCAACGACATAATTCTTGCGATTTATGAATTTTATTTTATGGTGCCTGTATATAGATGATGACCTTTTTTTAATAAAATAATAATTCAAAAGTGGTAGATTTTTGTCGTTCCTTTTGCTTTTTTGGTTTGTTAACCATTAAAGAAATCCCCGTGCTCGACAAAAGAATATATATATATATATATATATATTTATTTATTTATTTACTTTTAGTAAATAATATTTATATTTCATACATATAAATCATGGGGTTGTCAGCGGGAAGGAATAGACTTGCTACTTTTGAATTCAACTCAAAGTTTCTCTTCAGATTTCAAACGTTTATTATCATATTGCTCGTCTGTTTTTTATCCACAAACAATTTTTTGTTCACATTTCTATTTTATTGATCTTTATAAACTAAGATTTGCGCATTTCACTTGAGGAAAAGACGACGAGCAAACAATAATGAACCCTTTTCTAAATTATTGGAGCTCATCCGTAGAAGGTGAAGAAATCTTAGTCTCGGAAAAAAGAAATCGTTTATAACACCACCCAACCAACAAATCAATTTGGAATCTATTTGCACATTTATATGACAGAGTTTGAAATACCCATTCGAATAACATTCCAGCAACAATGGTTAGACTAACACATCATTGTTATTCTCACTCTCCAACATGGCGGCGCCAGTAACACGTGGGACACTCATCAACCATCATCAGCATCATAAAGTGAATGACAGAAAAATTTATTCAATTGATCATTTGAGTAAGCTCTTTTTGGCTATACTGGTTATATACATATATTATCATTCTTTAAAAAACATTTTCGCCTTTATTATTAACGCTAAAAAATCGCAAGATTAACAAAATCATCATCACCCAATTCTACTCTTTTTCCTTTTGTTGTTGTTATTATTGTTATTATTATTTTTTTTATTGCTGTATTGTAGTCTTGTTTACAGAGTATTATTGTTATTATTATTATTATTATTATTATTATTATTATTATTATTATTATTATTATTATTATTATTATTATTA